CACTACGATGCAATTCTATGTGGCACTTCGGTGCATTTATATGAGCTGTGGTGACAACATTAGTGCACAACCTCCATAAACTCACATATCTATAGTTCTCACATATGTACATGGGCTAATCAAGAGATATAAACAAATATATGTTAGTGGTATGATAAATGTTATAGAAATGATATGATGTTGTGTGTGTATAGTGTTTGATTGAAAAGGTTAAACATAAAAGTATGTGATTACATGATAAACTGTTAATGATGAGTTATGTGTATGTATGTATTTACTGTAATTAATCTGATATGATTTTATATGATACGAAGAAAGCATGTAATTTGGTATAACATGATAGAACAGAACATGCATGTATTGATATATGTTATAAAGTGCATTATAAGTTTTTATGCCTCACTAAGTCTTCGACTTAGCGTGTGATTGTTTCACACGTAGGGTACAAAAGCAAGAAGAGAATAGAAGAAGAGTAAGATAGGTCAGCACCTCCCTTACAAAATTTCAGATCAGAAAATAGAGGATTTAAATGTTTTTGGTTATTTTGAGTATAGTTGGCATATACTAATTGGTTGAATTAAATATGCTCTGATTGATTTTGGTTATTGTGGTCAGTTTATGTAACTAAACCTCTTTTACTTTAATGAAATGTTTTAAAAATTCTTTGAATTTTATCAAGAGTCAAAGTTTGAAAAGTCAATGTGACACCTCAGACTCGTATCCGGGTCGGGTACGGGTTGGGGTGTTACAGCTACGACGCCATTGTCATCAAGAATTGTCTCCGATGGTGGCTTCAGGTCCCCGTTTAGTAACCGTTAAAGCCGGTGACTTCGCACCGTAAGCAGAATCTACTGTTTCCATAGCAGAAAGTTCATTTCATCTAGGACAACATTCACTTTCTTATGTGCAAATCTCTTGGAGGACTCCATGGCCAACCAATCAAGAATTGAGCAACGAAAGTTTTAGAAAAGAATCCCAGAATTTCTGGCGAATGATACCATAATGAGAAGTAGAGAGAACTGAAGATTGTACAAGAAAGACGTATCTTTCATATCAGCATGATCAATATTTTATTAGTGTACAATGGCCAATAACAGCTCAACATCTTCTTTCTAACTGCATACATGCCTTAGCTAACTACTTAACAAACTAACCACTTATTCAATGCTCATACACATGAGAGCATATACTCGTGCATACACCAGCACTACAAGCATACCAGAAGTCTAACAAAGACTAATAATGACTGCTGTTAGTTATCTGCCAAAAGAACCAATCTAAAATGACAAAACCTCACTACATTAAACGACAAACTCCTGAGTTTGCTACCTCAGCTTTTTCCTTAGCTTTCGAGAGACAGACATGCATCCACAAAAGCTGTTGCATCCTCCGTGCATGTCACGTGATGCATACTTCCACTTCCGGTCTACTGCACTTCCCCACGCTGTCCACCGTCAACGGCATCACTAACACCACCGCCCGAAACGAATTCTATGGGGAGATGGGTGCTCCGAACCCGAAGTCTGGCCCTGATCCGGATCCAGTTCTTGACTCAGAACGTGAAATTGAAGTCCCAGACACGAAGTCACCGCTGCTTTGTGGGGTTATTGATGGGGTTGCTACGTTGGTCGTCGTGCCCATGATGAATTTCCCTCCATGCTTGGTGTTGATGGTGGAAGTTGAAACTGTGGTGCTTGCGTTTGTGGCGGCGATATCGTCGTGGAAGAGATCAAATCGGTATCTCAGAGCGTCGGTGAAACCAGACTCACGCCAGGCTTCGAGGCGACCCCAGGGATTCCATGTTCCACAACCTGGACGTAGAATTAGCCATCCACCTGGGTTGGATCGGGTGACCCTGTCCGAGCCAGAAGATGGCACGAACGGTGTCACCATTGATGCCATTGCCACGGGAGAGCCAGAGAGGTTGTGGATTGTAATCGACCATCCTTTTCGTTCTTTGGAGGATTGCACCTTATCAGATTGCAAAGGAAGCAGCCAATTCCTCTAAGTTTTTGATTCAGACAAAGATGATCTGTAGTTGCACAATGACAACACACAAAGTCAAAACTAGTACGTGTTATCCCCCCCGAAACTTATTAATAAGCAAACCATGACTAACCTTGATCCCGAGTTCCGGTCGTTGGAGTTTCTGAAACTGAACTTGCAAGTGAAGACAGACTGTTTAAGACTTGCTTGAACTTGGAAAACCTGAGGACTACACTCAGGTTCCCCACCGAACTGGAACACAAATCTGGGGTCTGGTTCGGTTCTGACAGTTAAACACAACAGTGGAGATGATCCATTCTTGTTGCTTCTTTAAGTCCTATAGCAATCCATCCATTGAGAACCACACACGGTCTTGATTCAACTCCACGTAGATCCAATGCACCGTGACCTTCCCCAACAACTTGTTATAAGCCAATCCACAAGTGCTCCCATTAGGACCATAATAAACCTCGACAATAACTTTGCACGACGAACCCCTCACGATTCTATCGATCTGAGACTTGCCTAGACTGAAACAAGCGTCCAACGATTTATGAGAAGAAAAAGAAGAAGAAGAATTGTTGTTGTTGTCTTGTGATACGATAAAGGGGATTGTAGCCACTTGATGAGGGAAGTTGTTGAGTTTAATCTTGCAAAAATATGGAGAAGTAGAAAGGTGGATTCTTGAGAGTGAGGTGTTTGTTGATGGTGGGAATTTCAGAGCCAAATTTCCCACCAGGATCCTTACAAAAGGGCAGGGATCCATTTCTGGGGCTTGGCTCTTCTTCTTCTACTTGAAAGCAGAAAGGAAAATTGAAGAGTGAGAACACAGGCTGTAGTATTAACTGGGTTGCTGCAGAGACGGAAGGGATAAATACGTGGAGGCAGGTGAGGGTCAAACCACTGAGATTCAGCTTGTATATATATGCATTTCAGTGAACAGCTAAGCTTGACATATTTGCTTACTGGAAAAGAAACCTTAAAATTTAACTAATTAATAATAAATAGCCCATTAAAACCAAAAGCAAACGAGTCAAAATAGGATCAAAGAGCATCTATATTAGACAGTGAAGCTGAGGCTAAAATTCCTCTACATACAGGACAGACTTTTGGGGATTGATTGACATACAGATACACAGGTATATGAGCTGCATGCGCACCTACATTCAAAGAACAATATGCCATGCCCCAAAACTAGGCAAATCCTTTGTCGTTTTGTACTAATCGTGTGACTAGTTTAACATAATCTAACAGATAGGATGATCCAATAAAGAGTTGGAGAGTGGGGACCGTGGCAGTTCCAAAGTGAAGTGGTTCACAGAATCACAGCACAGCTCGGATGCATTGGATGAATCCAACACAACACAGCCGTCAAGACAGTCCCATTCCATACCATCACGTCTAATTAGGTCTCTAGGATTGTCCTAATCATTTCTAATTGGTTTATAGTTTATTCTGATTTTATCAACTTAATTGTCTTTAATATACATATTAGTTTATTTATTTTAAATATATAGTTTAAATCAATCCAATCAACATATAATGTTAAGATTTTGGGCTTAAGCCTTATTATAACAAACTTTACGTTTGGGATAGCCGTGTCTCAAACCACAACTCCCTTTGGGTTTGTATTTATTCGGATATACAAGGCCACGGCCTCGTTTTAACAAATATATAACTTTGTTCACACGAAACCAACCATATACATGGTACAAAGTTAATTACAGGGTTAAACATAAAATAAGTGTCTAAACTATAATGCTTTTCAGTGTATAAATTATTTTTTGAATGATCCCGATTTCTATCGTTACAAACATGACCACTTTAGGTATTCAGATCGTGAATGACGCTAATTTTCTCCGATAAGTGACCCGTATCACAATCTAGTAATTTTGAAATTTATTTTTAAAAAATATTAAAGATATTATTATATTAAAAAACCATAATTTCTCTTAAATTGAAAAAACCCAAGATTCCTAAAATCTCTTAGTCCTAACCCTAACCCACCACCATCGTTCTTTCCAACCACGCCTTCTGTTGTCGACGTAGTCTCTGCTCTCCTTCTAGTCATATGCCTCCATAGTTGTCGCCGACTGGTCGTCAGAATTGTGTGGGATCGTGATTTTCATCCTAGGATTCGCGAGGTATAAAACATCAATTCGCCGTCGATCGATACTCAATCGATCACAATTTTATCGGGGTTTTGGTCTCCGGGGAGGGTAAGGTCAGGTGGAGCTTCATCGACGATAAAGGGCGATGACCGATGTGGGTTTAGGAGTTAAAATGAAGGTTTTCAAAATTTTGGGATTATTTCAAAAATTTTGTGTATGTTTCTTTAAATATATTTTTTTAAAATTTTATATAAATTTTTTAAAATTACCAGATTGTGACATGTGTCTCTTAATGGAGAAAATTAACATCATTAACGGCTCGAGCACCTAAAATGATAACATTTGTAATATTAGACACCAGAACTATTCAAAAAATAATTTAAGCATTTATTAGTGAAAAACACTATAATTTAAACACTTATTTTATATTTAAGCAATAATTAAAATCACATTATTAAAAAATCTATTGTCAAAGTACTCTAATTTACTTGGACCGTCCTTGTGTGTTTATAAATAAATAAATATATAATTGAGTTTTTATTAAAAGCATCATGCAACAAAACAACTCTAATGTATGACAATAGTGTCAACTTTACATGTATTATTATTTTTTTGAATATTTGTACACTGAACGTTTATTTTTGAATAAAAAATAATCCACGCTGAATGAAAACTGACAATCAACTTATGATCAACTCAGGTGTTGACTAAGCGCACATGCATGGAGGGAAAAATTGACGTGGAAGTCTATGTCATCGATCACTGACGTGATACTGGCATATCATTTTTAAAAAAATATTATTTATATTTTTATATTATTAATTTGAACCAATCAGACTCTCTGATTGGTGCACAATGAAAATGGTTAAATGCATCGAACCTGGGTCTCTCGGGTGAATTACTCCTAACTCCCCACTTTTTCACTGAGTTGCCCCTTCGTCACTTTGCCGCCACCGCCACTGCCACTGCCTTTAACCTCCGTCTCTTTGCCATGGTACATCTTCCTCTTTTCTACATCTTTTATCTTACGTGAATGCGTGTGTCAACAACTTTTTGGTTTAAAAGATTCTTTTTTTGGAACTATGAAAGGCATCAGAGAAGAAGTTGTCGAACCCAATGAGGGAGATTAAAGTTCAAAAGCTCGTCCTCAATATATCCGTCGGTGAAAGCGGTGATCGTCTAACCCGTGTCGCCAAGACAAGTAACAAAAAAACCAAAAAGAAAAAAACTATTCATTTCCCCCAAATATTTTACCTTCTGTTTATTTCTCTTTATTTTGGTCCTTTTTAGGTCTTAGAACAACTCGGTGGTCAAGCCCCGTCTTCTCCAAGGGTAAAATTCCTGGAAAACAAATGCTGATTTTGAGTTTACTTTTGTTGGTATTCGTGGTTAATAAAATTGAAAATATTGGTTTTGATATGAGTAGTTAGGTACACTGAGATCCTTCGGAATCAGGCGTAATGAGAAGATTGCTTGCTACGTGACGGTGAGGGGAGAGAAGGCTATGCAGCTTCTCGAGAGTAGTTTGAAGGTTAAGGAATATGAGCTTTTGAGGAGGAACTTCAGTGATATTGGCTGCTTTAAGTTCGGCATACAGGAGCACATTGATCTCGGCATCAAGTAAGTATTAATTTTCGGGCACTTCTTTATTAATTTATGATGTAATGTAATTGAGGGTTCTTATGTTGATACTGCATTGTGGACACTTGATTTCGATTCACTGTTGACACGACCAACTAAATTGAACTAAATTTAGATCCTTTAATAGGTTTAAGGAGTTGATTTTCATCATAACTTTATGATTAAAATACTTCTACTAGGATCGGAGCACACATGTTCGTGTCTTGCAATGATGTTTGGTTTTGGGATTGGGAGTTGGACTGGTTTTAGGATTTATGAATGCAGTTGCTTTTCCGGTTAATCGACCTTTGAGACAGTTAATTGCCCAAGGTGTATATTGCTTCGGTTTTCTTGTTAAAGAATATGTGTAGCTTGAAAACTGTTTAATCCTACTTGAAGTCGGTATTACTTTATTCAATCAGTTAGTGGTTAACCCTCGTTTTAAACCATTAAGCATGAGTGGGATCTTGTGATTCTCTCATTTTTTATCCTTGTAATGAGGTTAGCCTGCATTGGCAGCTTCATTCTGCTATCATTTACATATGTTATGTAGCCAATTAAGGCATAAATTACATCTCCTGTGAATTTTCTAGGTATGACCCTTCGACTGGTATCAGAGGAGAAAATTCACACGTGTTTTGTTTTGTTTTTTTTTTTAAATTCAGACGGAAGTATCTATTAAATATAATTTGTTTCATTCATTATTCTAGCAAGTATCCTAGTCTGGTGGCAAAACGAGGAGTAATTCACCCGAGAGACCCAGATTTGAGTCACCTTTCATGCATTTAACTATTTTCATTGTGCACCAATCAGAGAGTGACGATTGGTTCGAATTAATAATATAAAAATATAAATAATAATTTTTTAAAAATGACGTGGTAGTGCCACGTCAGAGATCTCGATGACATGGACTTCCACATCAACTTTCCCCTCCACGCGTGCGCGCTTAGTCAACACCCCAACTGACGGATTTCATCCAACGTGGGTTATTTTTAACCCAAAAATAAACGTTTAGTGCACAAATGTTCCAAAAAAAATAATACGGGTAAATTTAAAACTATTGTCAAACATTAGGGTTATTTTGTTGCATTATGCCTTTATTAAAATATATATCGTTTAATTATTAATTTCTAATCTAACATCTATTCATATTTCTCAAAATTTTCACCTATTTCGATCACGTAAGATGAAAGCAATTTCTGTAATAAGTGCATTCCACCGTTATTTGTTTTTTTTTTGGATTTAAGGTTTCGTCTTGATTAATCCGTACCGACTCATGTCGTACACATGAGGTGGGTGAGTCTCCCGACATATATATTTTGTATACACAAGGATTCAAGCTCAAACACATAAAAGAATAAAATATTTCTTTAAAAGTTATCTTTTTTTCTCTTAATTTTTTATAAACGATTGAAGTTCGGTTTAGAACATGAAATAATATCCATAGAGTTGTTTCCGATGTATGTTATTTTTCAAGTTAATTATTGTCCTAAACCATCTTTATTGTACTAATTAAATTCACTTTGTTTGATTAATCCATGATTTTGTAGGTTACCGAAATCTTTAATCTTTAAGAAGAATAACAATGCGACTAAATGTATATATGCGTTTGATCTTCGAAAGATGATAAAAGAGCATCGCTTTAAAGGGTTAATTCCCCTGAACTTGAAAACTGCAAAATCTTATTACATTGATTCGTGATTGATGAACCTCAACCACACGATGAAATTAGTAGCATTTAAGGCGAGCTCATCATTATGGATTATCCACAAAATCTACGGACAGTTCAGACAACGTTGTTGTCTGTCTCAAATGACAAAGATTCACCTTGCAATATCATTTCATACCATCTTTGGATAGAATTTGTGGTACGATAATATCATCAAATGACAACAAAGAAAATAGAGAAATTCACTCTGTATATGACATGGAAAACATAATTACAAACCCTGAATTTGAACAGAAACGAAGACGGGAGTTTAAAAAACATTGGACACGCTGTTATTAGCCTACTAAGTTCATAACCAAATTAAATACAGACATGAAGGCTAAAAATACATACATAAAACCAAACACGCTGTAACTGAATTCTTTGTTTATTCCAAAGAAAGTGACTTAAATCACTTAGAAGAATGAATGTCCAAATCCAGGAGGACAAGGATTGTATCCTTCAGGATTGGGGTTGAAACTGAATCCAGGAGGTATCATATTGGGAGGAGGAGGATTGTATCCGTGAGGCATCATGTTCACGTCGAATTCGATGTTATCGGGGAACACCCCGGCGGCGGCGGCAGCACTCGAACTCCCCATGAACAACTGCTGGGAGTTCGTAGTCTGAATCAGAAGCTTTTCCACTTGCTTTGCAACGTTCTTTTTCAACTCTTCCAACGCCCATTTCAGCTGCTGGAGTTGCGGCAGGCTAAGTTCCTCGACCGGCGCCTCCCACCAGTACTGCCCTTGGCTCGCCCTTCTCATGTGGTTCAGCTCCTCGCCGCCCCTTTTCTCGACTTCGATTTGGCTCATCAACTGAAACAAAAAAACCCTACTATTAATCAAACCAACAGTCAAACAAAACAAAACAAATAAAACAAAAGTAGTCTCGGGTTATAATCAAACCTCAGTAAGTTGCATGTTGAATTCACGAACATGAGCGTTTCGATGAGCCTCCGTGATATGCATAGTGCCAGGGTTGCCGTTGATGTACCGACCGATAACGTTGCCGATCTCCGGGTGACCAAAGGAGAAAACTTTGTTCCCTGGTGAGAATACGATGATACCAATCTCAACACCACACAAAGTACAGAGTTCACTGGCCTTTTTGAAAAGACCCGAACGCCGTTTCGAGAAGGTCACTTGGAGATTGCTATTGTTCTTCATCTTCACCATCTCCACCTTCTGACGGCCTAAGCTTTTCTTCCCCATAATCTCCAGAAATTTTCACAGTGATGGGAATTGCAATTGATGGGGGAATGAGAAGGTTAGTATTTATATGGGGAACAAGATAGGATATTTACACTTTGAGCTGTCCATATTTACTATGTTTTATGTACAATTATTGCTGTCCTTTACTTTAATTAAATTATATACTATATTTTCTATTTACATAAATGGGAATTAAGTCACCCAAAATAAATAAAAAAATATAATGTAACTCTCCATCTCTGCGTTTAATCACTTTCCCAATTCATCATAATAAAAATCATGTATACAACTCAGAAAATTTTCTTGGTCTTAATGTCTTGTGACATAACATTGTTGTCATGTGTCAACGAGCAGTAGGTAGGCTATAGTTGGTAATACGTAATTTAGTTCAAGCTATCCACGTATGTGTTGGATGGAATAGTAAAAAGTTTCATATCTCTTAAATAGAATTTCGAAAATATACACTAGTATGATTTATTTTTTCATATTCGAAAGACAAACAAACATAATCTATTTAAGGATCCGCAACAGCAGCTGGAGGCAAATTTTGGAAGAGCCCTTTGATAAATATGCTGTTGATAAAGTTATGGAGATAAGATTGCAAGTGATTAACATGAAATAATCTATTTAAGGATCCGCAACAGCAGCTGGAGGCAAATTTTGGAAGAGCCCTTTGATAAATATGCTGCTGATAAAGTTATGGAGATAAGATTGCAAGTGATTAACATGAAAAATTGGTTCGAGGATGATTCTTGTTAGATCTTAAATGGAATAAGCCCAACAGAGTAGAAGGAAAAAGACATTTTCATGCAAGTGCACGGGATAATGACATGCGCATAGAGAATTGATTCACAACAGATAATTGGTGCATCAGAAAAAGCTAAACATTCTGCTCTCTACTTGTTCTTTTTCCTCTTTAAAGGGACCTACATTGAACTAAACTGAGCAGCCAAGAACACAAACAGTTCAAGCTATTGCATCAAACTTCCAATGACCCCAGCAATGAGAGCAGTGGGATCCCCAAGCACAGCCGATATCACAAATTGCAGAGTCAAAGCAGCCATCTCACAGCATTTCTTTGCCTTCCCTTTACTCCTTTTATGAGGCATTTGAAGTGTGTTTTTCAAGCTTGGGATTCTTGTCTCCAGTTTCCTTGTACTACCCTTGCCATGTCCAAAGTGTAATTCATGCCAATTCTCCACCAACATTTTCCTAACACATGCAACATGCAAGTTATACTTTTTGCAACCTGACCCGTAACTCCAACTCCTCCCTTTATGTTCACATCTATGGCATGCTTCTCTCACTCTCCTATGCAGATACAGTTTCACTTCTCCGTCGTCTAACACCATCGGTAGCTTTGCACAACACGGATGAAGATCGAACCCGCATGATTTGCAAAGGTAAACGAAACCGGTTATTGATCGCGTGTAAATGTGTGTGATATGACACGTAAATCTATGCAATTATAATCATTTGGTGCAAGTAATATAATAGTGAGTGAGTATCGTCTCTACAGGGATTGGGAGAATTCTTTAAAGATTGCTACAACAAGGAATAGTCGTCACTAACTAATCCTAAGCGTCTATATCTAATGATATAAACAAATGAGAAATATGTTATGGCAGATGGTATGAATAGATGGAAAAAGTTTGCTGAGGCAAGAAATGTGTGAAGTGAAGTGAGAATATAATTTTTGTCATGGCAAGAAAAATGTGCAAGAGTAAATAAGTAAAAATTGCCAAGGAAAAAATTAATTGCAAGAGTAAGTAAATAAAAGTTGCTAAAGAAAAAAATGTTCGACTTTTGAATATAGACTAACAACCTCACACAATCAGACTTCTAACGGAGCACTTGGGTTGGATTTGCTATGGCGAGAAATTATTCTATGCCTAGGATGAACTAAGTATGTTGTGCCTATGCTGTCCGACAGGATTTACTAAAGTGTTCCGAAGCTATCTCTAGTAAGGAATCTGATACAACTATTGTCACGACAATACCTCTCAGCGTAAACACTGACCCTAGCCTATCGATTAAGTACTATCCCTTTTAGTCGCTTGAAACTCTCTCCTTATCTCTAAGGAGGATTAGAATTCCACCATCTCGGATTGGTTCCCTTGTTCACATAGATCTAACCTAACTTTCTCGATATTAGGTATCAACTCTTAGAAAAACGACTATATCTCAACATCTCTTACAAAGGCTAGGAATATTATGCCAATGCACCAGACAATCTCTCAAAAGCTCTTACAATGCTAAGGCATAAGATTAAAATAGTGAAAAAACAACAATAAACATAAATATACTTATCATACATTAAACATAAAATAAAATATCATCCGAACAACTCTAACACCAAATAAAACAGTTCATGGTGTGACTAAAATCATCCCAAAATATTCATCAAGTACAAGCCTTTAAAAGATAAGAAATAAAGAACAAGGAGAAGTAAACTAAAAAAAAGAGTTGTTACCGTGACATCATACCATCACCATGACTTCTCCAGTGCACTAGCCTCTCTTGAGGGCCTAGCCGCTACTCCGGTAAAGCCCAACTATGGAGGACACCAAGAAAAGACGAGAGGGGAACAGTGGAGAAGTTATTGCAGTCGCATATTTCAAAGCTTTTAGGGTAGGTGAGAGTAGGGATTTTTAAAATGGTGAGCATAATGTGCTATTCATAGTGGGATTTTTTAGGGTTTAGAGTCCTTGAAATTTCCCCAACAACCATTGAATTCATGCCCATTTCGTGAATAATATGGCAACTGGTAGTGGTCTCAAATCCTTAGCAGGGAAAGAGGTTCACGTGAGGAGCACTGGACAGTTGGCCACACGACGTCAACAATTTTGTCTCGTACTGTGTTAGACTTTCAAGATAGAACTTACCGTGACTAAAGATTCCTCACGATCATCGTCTTCAGTTCCTTTGTCCCTCGCACAAAATTTGTCTCTATAAATATTTTCCTCCTCGATAATTTCTTATCACCTACATCATCACAACCAACACTCAACCCTTATCATTAGCAACATCAGTTTGAAAGAAAAACTAGCCGAGGCAAAACTTATCCACCACATGCATGAAATGTCCTAAATGCAATTAAAATGCTATGGCAATGACTTTTGGACAAACAATAACTTAATTAAAAAGACCTAAAATATAATATTTTTACGGAGTTATCACACCCTCAAACTTAAGCTATTGCTTGTTCTCAAGCAATGGATAATGAAAAACAGAAAATAAAATGCTACGGCCAAATTTTAATTAGGGCAGTCAAGTGGTATAAAATTTTAGCCCTCATCAAAATCGTGGCTTCAACATGTTAGACTAATTGAGATGTCAAGTACCTTTCCCTAGGTTGAGATCCTTTGCAAGCATGTGTGCGTGATTGTATCTAGTGTATGCTTAACAAAATTGGAAAGTCCTTATGTAAGTTCTTTTGTTTTGCCAAGGCATAAAATTATTCATTAAACACAAAATTACTCGTATTTATTCAACACTTAACTAAATAATTTTTTAAACATTGCACAAAGGGAGTCAACCTATCATCACTACCATCCCACACTCTAGATTAGTGGGAGCATACCTTCCATCCCCAAGCTAGTCAGACAGAGTCATCACGTGACTACTTTCATTCACTCATGTGCTAAGGATGCCATTTATTCAAGGGTTTCCAGGTAATGCTGTCACACAAGAAGTGTCTCTCTACAACTATTATGAGGTATTTATTTGCAACACAATTAAAACATTAACAATAAATAGTTTAACTTAGTCTTTTCACGCATTAATTTATCAGTTAAGTTCATTACCAGAATTTTATGCCACGACGCAAAAAAGTTCTTTCATAAAAAATTCTATGTTCCTCAAGCATAGAAAACATAAAATCGTGTTCAGAGAATTACAAAAACTCATGTCCCAAGGTCGGTTTATCTTCCTCTACAGTCATGTACATTAAGTTATAACCATGACAAAATATTTTATCACCATCGGGCATCATCATCTTATTCCAAGTAACTATCATAATCCTAACTAATGCCATAAAAAAATTTCTGCTAACATTATCAATGCAAATGACTAAGTACGAGCATAATACCTCCCCCAAACTTGAGGGATACATTATCCTCAATGCATGAAAACTAAGTAAATTAAACTAATCTAAATGCAATACAAATGCAAAGGTGGTGAGGTACCCCATTGTGGTGGGGCAACTTTGCTAGACGCTCGAGTACTACATCTCTTGAGTGGGGGTGGGCTATTGGAGTCTATATCGTCGAGCATGTACAGTGATGAAATATCAACAAGTGCACAACCAACTGAACGCTTGAGGTGTCGCTTGGTCCTGAGAGGACTAACTCGTCGTGGCAATTCCTCTATTAGTGGGTTCTCAGCTGAGTGTTCCAAAGGTTGGCTTATTTCTGCCAGGGTAACAAGTTGGTGGTATGCTCGGTGGCTGGTTCGGTGGTAGCGTCTTCAGCAACATCTTCAGGTTGGACAGTTGCTTCCTCAAACAATTCTAGTTGAAGCACCTGAGTATACTCCGAGGAAATTGGGTTGCTGAGCTCATCATTCTCATCTTCTCTTTCTTCAACAACCACGAAAAATGAGTAGTGTTGAAAACATTTTGATGTTTCGATATAACAAATTAAGTATTATTGAATTTTAAGATTTTCTAATCATTTTTAAGTATATTCGATTCAATTATTCGAATAACAAAATATTATTCCAAGTTTTTCAAAAATCAATTTCAAATTCTTATTAAAGTATAAAATTGTGTTTTAAACTTAAAATATTTTTTGAAACAATTTTACAAAGTATTTCAAACCAAAATCGAGCCAAAAATCAAATTTACAAAGTGATGTACCGATGCACTACATGATGCATCGATGTACACCCATTTCGAATGCATTTTGTGTACCGATGCACAAGCCTTGCATCGATGCACTCTTAAATATTTTGAAACATCAAATGTATTTTGTGTACCGATGCACAGACCATACATCGATGCACTCCTGGATATTTTAAAACATCGAATGTAATTAGTGTACTGATGCACCCCTAGTGTACCGATGCACTAAGTCTTATAACGGTCGAAATATTTGAATTTTACACATAGTGTACCGATGCACCTTGTGTATGCATTGATGCACACACGCTCCCAATTATTTTATTAATTGATAATTACACTATAACGACTCTATTGACTTCACCAATGATCCCCAACGTTCATAAGTGATCCAAGGTGTATTTAAACAAGCTTAGGAGCCATTGGTCAACAACAATTAAGAAGAATTGAGAGAGAATCAAAGAGAAAGCATCAAACCTTAAGTTTGAGCATTTTCAAGCCTATTTCATTCAATATTCATTTTTTCTTTCAAGAACACTTATTGTGCTCAATTGTATTATTCTTGAGTGTTCTTTCTTTGTTCTAGAATTGTGCAAACATCTTGCCTTGTGAGGTTTTTCTGTAAGTTTGTGAAATTTATATGTTCTCTTTGTGAGAGAGTGTTGTCAATATTTGGGGTATAATTCTTGAGGAATTTGTAAGGTTACCCTTTGTCCTCAAAAGAAAGACAAATGAGTGAATTTGTGGAAAATCCTTAGTGTGGATAGCTAAGATAGTGGACGTAGAATTTGGTTGAGAAATTCCAACCACTCTAAATCGCTGTGCAATTATTTTCTATTTTTGTAAAAGCTTCCACCAAAATTTTTATTGCCAATTCACCCCTCTTGGCTATTTCGTCGATCTATTAACTCGACAATTGGTATTAGAGCCTCACTCATTTGAAGGTTTAATTATCTCTTAAGTCGATTCGATCGATAATCAAGTCATCAATGGCCTCCACTTCAAACTTCAACGTTGGTCTTGATTCAATGTCTGTCAACAAGCCTCATTTCTTCAATGGAGCTAATTATGCTTATTGGAAAAATAGAATGAGGTACTTCATTCAAGCAAGTGACATGAGAGCATGAAATATCATAGAAGATAGATACATCATACCTTCCACTCATTCAAGAACGTGGAATGAAACAAAGACAAGAATGTTCCAGCTCAACTCAAAGGCTATTCATATCATATTTTGTGCTCTTGGACCAGATAAATAAAGGAGAGTTTCATTTTGTACAACCGCATATGAGATATGGGATAAACTACAAGTCACTCATGAAGGCACAGACGAAGTAAAAAATATAAAATTAGTCTCCTAACTCATAACTATGAAAATTTCAGGATGAAACCGGATGAAGACATCAAAGCTATGATGGATAGATTTTCAACGATTGTCAATAGTCTCAAATCATATGGAAAGATCATCCCAAATGAGAAGCTTATAAGGAAGTTAGTTTACTCTCTTCCGAAAGCTTGGCAATAAAAGAAAACGACAATCATTGAGGCTAAGAACTTAAAGTCTTTAACTATTGAAGAGTTAATTGGTTCACTCCTCACTCATGAAAGGATGCTTTAAGATGAGGTAGACCTCGAGAAGATTAACGGGCCAAAGAAAGAGACGAAGAAAAAGAAGAACATGGGAGTTGCTCTTAAATCCACAAGAGATGAGTGATTCAGATGAAGATGATGATGACGAGGAGATGGCATTATTTGCCAAACAGTTCAGAAAATTGATAAAGCCTAACCGAGGAACAAAATTCAAACGAAACAAAGGCTTCAAAAATGAACCGAAGGAGAAAGACCCTATTATTTGCTACGAGTGTAAAAAGCCTGGTCATGTCAATACGATTGCCCGTAATTAAAGAAAAAGGGTCAAACCAAGAAGAAACACAAGGCTCATGTTGCTACATGGAGCGATGATGAAGGTTCCGATGAAGAGGAACAAGAAGTAGCAAACTTGTGCTTGATGGCCATCGGGGAAAACTCTCAGGTAACCTCTAACTCATCTAATTTTGAAGATTATTCTTTTGACGAGTTTGTAGAGGAATATACTGGGTTGGCTTCGGATTATGAGAAATTATTTTTAAAATACAAAAGTGATATTTCAAAATTGAAAAATGAAAATAATCTCATATCCAAGACCAACAATGATCTTTAAAGTAAAATTAAAGATTTTCAAATCAAACTAAATGAGTTTGAAAAGAAATTTCTAATTTGCATAATTTACTTTCAAAGGTCAACGATGATCATCAAAGAAAATTGATGATCTTAAAACTTCTTTTGATAAAGTTGGAACAAAACGTTTTGAAAATGAAGAAAACTCAAAATCCAACTTTGTTAGAAAAAGTTTTAAAAACTACAATCATAGAGGTCCCCGAAGAACCTCTAATGGAAAAATCATTAAAAGTATATGGATTCCTAAAGAACTCATTACTACTAAAGATAAGGATATCCTACACAAATGGATACCCAAGGTGACTAGAATTTTGGAGACTAATGAATATGGACCCAAAAGAAATTGGGTACCAAAAATAAAAAATTAATTTATGTTTGTAGGGAAAGGAGCATTGCTACAAGGCACGAGAAACAAGTTCAAACTCATGGTACCTTGATAGTGGATGCTCAAGACATATGACCGGAGATAAGAGCCAATTCATCGAGCTTAACGACAAAAATGGAGGAGAAATGACTTTTGGTGATAATTCAAAAGGTCACATTGAAGGTATAGGTACTATAGGTAATACCTCTTCCATACAAATTCAAAATGTTTTATATGTGAATGGGCTAAAGTATAATCTATTGAGTAGTATTCAATTTTGTGATAAAGGATACAATGTCTTATTTGAAACAAATAGTTGTAAAGTCATTAACATTGCATCTAATCGGATTATGCTTAATGGTCATAGAATAGGAAACATTTATATGGTGCATTTAGATTCAATAAATATGACTAATTTATGCCTAGTTGCTAAGGATGAACATGGTAGTTGGTTATGGCATAGAAGACTAGGACATACCAGCATGAGTGTTTTAAAAAGACTAATTTAAGGAGGTTTAGTAAGAGGTTTTCCAAAACTAAAATTTGATAAAGATAAAATCTGTGATGCATGTGCTAAAGGAAAACATCAAAGAGCCTCTTTAAGTCCATTAATAATGTATCAACTAGTAGGGTATTACAATTGATTCATATTGATCTTTTTGGGCCAATTAGAACCGTTAGCTTGGGTGGAAAACAATATTGTTTTGTATTGGTAGATGACTATTCTAGATGTACTTGGGTTCTATTCTTAAGTACTAAAAATGAAGCATTAGAAAAATTCATCACTTTTTCAGAAACAATCCAAAACGAAAAATGTTACTCCATAACTAGTGTTAAGAGTGATCATGGAACTGAATTTGAAAATCTTTGATTTACTGAGTTTTGTAATTCTAATGGTATTAGCCATAATTTTTCAGCACCAAGAACCCCTCAACAAAATGGAGTTGTTGAGAGGAAAAATCGAACTTTAGAAGAAATGGTTAGAACTATGCTTTGTGAAAACAATTTGCCAAAATATTTTTGGGCATAAGCCAGAAATACCGTTTGTTATGTTATAAATCGAGTAATGATTAGGTCAATTTTAAAGAAAACTCTATATGTACTTTTCAAAAATAAAAAGCCTAATATTAGTTATTTTTATCCTTTTGGATGTTTTGTTTTAAACAACAGTAAAGAAAATCTTGGCAAATTTGATGTTAAAAGTGATGAAGGATTTTTTTGGGTTATTCCTTATATTCTAAAGCTTATCGAATATTTAATAAAAGAACTTTTGTGGTAGAAGAGTCTATACATGTTGCTTTCGATGATATTCCCCTTCTGAGGAAGGATTCTTGTGTGAATGATGATGTAGGTATTGTAAACAAAAATGATGTTAGTTATGATGTTGGAGAACAATCATCAAAGGAAGACATGAAAGATGAGGAAACTCATGATGTTCTCGAGAATCCGACCAATGAGGAAAGGGAAGTCTCTTACCTAAGAGAGTACAATAATGTCAAGGATGATGAAATTATAGGTGATCCATCCAAAGGGGTAACAACTCAATATTCTCTTAGAAATATATGTAATTATGTTGCATTTATCTCATGCATAGAGCCTAAGAATATTAAAGAAGCATTAAATGATGAACATTGGATTATGGCTATGCAAGAAGAGTTAAATCAATTTGAGAGAAGTAAAGTATGGACATTAGTTGAAAGGTCTAGTAATCAATCTATTATAGGTACTAGATGAGTATTTAGGAATAAGCTTGATGAAAGTGGTAATATAGTGAGGAACAAAGCTAGACTTGTTGCTCAAGGCTATACTCAAGAAGAGGGCATAGATTTTGATGAGACATACGCTCCCGTAGCTAGGATGAAAGCAATTAGAATGTTATTAGCATTTGCATATTTCAATGGATTTAAATTATATCAAATGGATGTTAAAAGTGCATTTTTAAATGGTTTTATAAAAGAAGAAGTGTATGTGGAAAAACCTCCTGGTTTTGAAGATTCAAAATTTCCAGATCACGTTTTCAAATTAACAAAACTACTTTATGGTTTAAAACAAGCTCCTAGAGCTTGGTATGAAAGATTGTCAAAATTTTTAATCGAAAAAGGTTTTTCAAAAGGTAAGGTTGACACTACATTATTTTTAAAGAGAAAAGTAAAGATTT